TTATCAAGCAATTGTTGTAGATAAATTTGTATTCTTGTAATAATATAATATCTAATTTAAAGTGTATGTTTAGTATGAAAACTCATAATTGGAGATTTTTTTTTCATGCTCAACAATTCTTTTCTTAAGTATTTAATGTTGAATGAAGCCACAAATAGGCCATCATTCATAGATTGGAGATGGATTGTCTAACCTAAATTTTTGCACAAAGTAAGCTAGAAGGGTCAAAAATGATGTTGTGGTATATTTAAGTTGTTGTAGGATCCTAAGTTTTGTTATCTAGTCCATATAGGGTACTAAGTGAAGGCATCTTAAAATTAATCATTAAGGATTTTTAGAAATAAAGGGCATTTTTTTTTCTAGTATATATATTATTACTCTATTTGATCTAAGTGTATAGGTCATCAAAAGAAATAATGACTAGCTACTTATTTATAGGTAGGTCCTCAATAGTTTCCCATTTTGATATTTAAAATGTATTTATCCATTGCCTCAATAAATTTGGTCCATTATTGATATTGATAATTATCGTTCTGAATCCTTATATTATGGTATTAATCATATCTATACATATAGAGGTTTTGGATCAATCATATTTATTAAGTATATATTGTAATTGTATTTTGAAAAGAAGAGCATCTTTCTACTTATAGATCAAGACTTCTAAGGAAAAGTTTGGAATAACTCGTATCAACATTAGAGTGATGATTTCTTATAAAGTGTTACTATATGGTTTCTTAAGCTCTAGTGCTTATTAAAATTTAGGATGTATTAGTGGAAAGCCATAGAAGATTGGTCCTTTAAGTATTATCAATTATATGTTTGTCTAGAGGTGGTCTTTTTTTTTTTTGACCCAGACAAATTGTAACCTCTAGTTCAATGTTGTGGATCTTTTGCAAAGGCTTAATCTGCTATCATCAAAGATTCTTGATCAAGTATTAGGTTGGTTGTATTAGAGTTGTCTAAGTAAAAAAGAGTATTATATGGTCTCTTCCTTTCTTTTTTCTTAATGTGTGGGTAATTTTTAGCATGATGTGAGGTATTGTGACATTGGTTACATTAGTTTGATAGACTAGTATAGTTGATGATATATTCTCTTTAGCTATCTAAAACGTTGGATATAATCATTAAGTGGGACAATTTTGTAATGTTATCCACCAATATTTATAATTGAGGGCGTGAGACCATAATTTTATAGATTTCAAAGGAGTTAATTGCTATCACCTCATTGATACTATTAAATACCTTTGTGAGAAGTTGTCTAAGTAGAAAGGTACAAAGTAGGCATTATAGTCCTTTAAATTGGGTCCATATTGGATACGTGATATGTTGAAAAGTTGATGTAAATTCAAGGTTAAAATTAGCTCTCCATATAGAAAAATAAGATGTTTTGATTATTGAATTTGTATTATTTGGTTAACATTTGTATTTTGCCATATTTGCTCTTGAAATGAATCTCAAAGTACCCTCCTTCTAGCATTGTTATCAAAGAATATAAAGAATGGAATATGTAAGTAGTTCATTTATATAGGATTCTTAGATCATGGTTCTTCATTAGGTAGTCTATAAGAGTGTATATTTTTTCATGTGTGATTTGTTTTTGGAATTTTTGTAGTATGTTCTTACTAAAGATAGCTTTGATTGTATTATGGACAAGTTGCAATAGCAAGGATGTTGTACCGGATGATATAGATATGAATGTATTACCAATGGTGGCACAATCAATACCATAAGCTTGCAAAAGAGTCTCTACGTCCACCTTCAATTGTTTTGAAAGCTATTGAAGCTTTTCTTCTATTGTATATTAGTGTATTAATCCAATTTGTAGATTTTTCTCAATAAAAACTTTGACTATATTTCATTTTTTTTTAATGAAAGTTCTAAGGTTTTCCATTGTATAATGTGCTAGGTCCAATGCCTTCTATTTGATCAATTTGTCTATGTTAATGTTCAAATTGATCATAGTATAAAGAATTAGATTGGTTTTTGTATGATCCAGCAATGTGATGTTGAACAAGTTAGAGGTGGGAGTTTGATTTATATTAAGGGATGAATCTCTGTAGATAATGTTCACTATTGGCATAATCCTAGATGTATCTTTAGTATCATTGTATAATATTGAGTATGACTTTGTCTTATTTAGACAGTAGTTGAGAGTTTGTTGATTAATAAATAAAAGTAGTATACTTCCAATGTCTTTAAAATTAAAGACCTCTTCTAATCCAATTATATTTATGCCTTTGGCTTGCATGAGTAATACTTCATCTTCATATTGGAGTGGTTCCAGGCATGACACTTCTTCTAGTGAGAAGTAAAGGGGCCAAATCGCAAAGCTTCTTTTGGAACGTCTTTTTTCAGAGTTGAGGCTTGCTACACTATCCTCACTTATTTGGATTTCTAGAATAGAGTTAAGAGATAGATGACTTATTTTTGAGGTTGTATATTGAGTTAGTTCCTTATAAAGATCTTTTATTTCCTCCACCCGACTTCTACATCCTCTGTTTGTCAATACTAAAGTTAATGTCTTGTTGCATAAAGCGTATGTTTGCTCTCTTGTTGTGGTGTTATAATTGGCCTTGCAATGTTTATTATCTAATTTTTATTCTATTCTACTATTGCACATTGTCTATCTATTTTGGATCTTATTGATTTTAGAGCCAAAGATTCTTAAATCGCTCTAACTCAGTCAAATACATACTCATTCAATGTTTGATTGTATCGTATATTTTGGATCTATATTTCTAGTCACAAATATGCTTACAAGTGGTTGTGTTGCAATCTCCTAGAATGTTGCAATGCTACTTTGATTGTAGAAATCTAGTGCCCTTTTCAATACATTAAAAAACAGTCATTCATAAAATTTTGGATCATTAGAATGCGGCTCTAATTTTCATGGAGCCTTGTTGCCACTCTTGCTTTTGCTTTGCTCTATTCTAGTGCTCTACCAACTATACTTTGCTCTATTAATTGAGCTAGGATGGCAATCAAATCACTATTGCAATTAATTCATATAATAGAAATTATATCTCTTTTTTCTGAAGTTGTTGACGGCCACTAACGGCCATCAATACAATATCCTACTCCATTCACGTTATTTGCGTCCAAGTCCGCATGCAACCGCGATTGTATGGTGCAACTAAGTAGTGCCGACTTTTATTTGCTCTTGATGTCAAATCTACCACTTAGAGCCACAGAAGTTTGCCTTTTTGTCCTTGCTTATGCCCACAAATTTCTCCAAATATAATCAAACTACACCTTAAAGCTTTTTAAAAACCCCATCAGCAAATTCTATGACAAAAGCTCCTACTTTCCTTCAAAGTTCCTACTACTCTTGTCATTGGCCATATATAACTAAAACGATGCCCTTACAAGCCTCGAACTTTGCCAAATCCCTCCATGCAAAATACATTCATTCTTTGACATTCAAAATACAATCATTCTTTTGCATGTATTGTGTAATTTGAAACCAAAATACCAATCAACCTTGTTTCAAGTGATCTTAATTACTCAATCAAGTTCCTTTGATTCAATAGACCATCCCATATTATCTTCAATGTCAACAATATAAACAATGTCAACAACATCAACAATGTATATTTGGTCTTGCATTAGTTGTTTTGTACAAGAGTTAGCATTGTTAGATAATTATAGATTTTACATTCTTACATAATTATTGTTATTATTAGAATATTCAAACAAGTCATTTATTTTATTACCATATTTTTTAAAAAAAATATTTATAATTTTCTATAAATTATAAATAAAATGATGATTAAATTTTATATTTTATAAAAAGCCCAATACCTATTCTTGGCTTATTTTTGTTTGTCAAATATTCAAATGATATGCATTAACTCTTTTTTTTCTTTGATTTATACCATCTTATTATATATAGTTGGTGCTTGGTTTTGATGGATGTTGTTGATGAAATGTAAATTCAAGCTCTAATGTATTAATAAGATTTTGAAATGACTTCTATGTGCATTTACTAATTATATTTACACTAATAAGAAAATTATCCTAATTAATTTGTGCACAACTTTAAATCTTAAACTTCATCCATTCCATTTTATTTTTTTATTATTATCCATTTCAATAAGATGTGGTAGTTAATTTTTCCTTGATATGTTGATCATAGTATAAGGTTCAATAACATACATACAAAATATAGGATATATCTTTATTAACTATAGTAATTGCTATTCATATGCAACTAAATTTATGTATGTTAGAATAATAAATATATTGACTCTTTAATAATCAAACTAGTTATAAGGTTTATTGGTCTTAATATTATGACAAAATAACTACATCTTATTATTAAAGGTTTTTTTTAAAAAAACATCTATAATTGTTTTTTTTTAATCATTCCTTATCTTCTTTTAGATATAGATTCATTAATGTAAAACTTTGCTATTTTACTTGCTAAATTTGTTGTTGTTGGATTTTTTTTAAAAAAAATTCAAAAATATAAATTTATAGATAATAATTATAATTGGAAAAAAAATAAAATAAAAAAATGTACCATTTTATTGTGTATATATATATATATATATATATATTAATGATAAGAGAGTTGTTTAATTGCCTTAATGATAATTACTTGTATATTGCAAATATTATTCCAATACTCAATTTACATGTTATGTTAGTATATCATTTGTCCATAAAGCCTATAAATAGTATTATATGTTTCATTAATTAAGTAGCTAAAATATTCAAAAGAATGATAATTATGAATATGTTGTAAATCTTTGAAGATAATTTTATCAATTTTACTGTTCCTGGGACTTAAAAGCATTCAATCATTACCATATTTAATGAAAATTTGAAATGGTATTTGTTTAATACTCTTAAGATCTACTTTTCATTAACGTTGTTAATGATTTCAATTGTACTTAACAATACCGTGCATGCACTTTCATCATATCATGTTGCCAATTTTCGAATTTTTTTTATCTTACCATAAATTTTTTTAAATTATATTAAAAAATCATATCCATGCAATAATGTGAATAGGGTATCTTTCTCATGCTACATGACTACTTAACGGCATCCATTTCTAGTACAAGTGCAATGTTAGGCAGTTTGGAGCTGTTCTTCAGCTACTACAATGGGGCGCCACAGTGTGCCATCGCCCCCATCCATCAAGCCAATGCCAGCAGCAGCCAATTCTAACCTGATCTGGTCTGATCGTGCATAATCTTTCGCTTCCCGAGCAGAAGCTCTCTCCTGTAACCGAGCTGCTAAATCATTCATACTCATCCCAGCTCTCTTCAATGCCAATGCTCTGATTTCATCTAGTACCTGAGGAATCAGTAAGCAACAAGAACAGTTACCAGTGAGGTTCTGCTATGTATCATGAAATCCTGCAAAATCAAACACTACAAAATAACGAAAAGACTGTCAACCACAAAGTGGGCGACATCCTTCCCAGATTGAAGCGTCAAACTTCCAGAAACACGATTTCGTGACAGTACTCAATGAGAACATTTTCAGAGTTACGGCTTGAACATTACCTTGGAGTAGCTTGGAATTTGGAATCCTAGAACATTCATAACTTCTTGGATTTCAGTTATGAGCAGCTGTAATGATACCAGACGAGTTTTGTCCTTGCGGCCCTGAAAAAGTTATAATTCAAAAGTGGAATTTCAATGATATTCAAAGATAATTGATTGATCAAGTTGTATGACTGATTTTACATAAGAACCATGCAGCATACACCACGAACCTTTAAGAGGACTAAGCTTTTAAGGACAAGAACATGATTTATCGTACCTTGCGAGTATGCATAAGATCATTCATGAACTTGAAAGATTCCGAGAAAGATGCCACGACCACAGGGGTATTCAAATCATCCGCCATAGATGTTCTGAATGTATTCTTAATGCTCTTGACGAGCTCTATAGCTTCTTTTGAAGGATTGCAAGCGGCAACTTTGTCGACTTGTTGACTTAAAATTTGTTCACAATCTACTAGAGTCTGTGAAGACCAAAGAAAGCTTTAATATTTGAATTCCATAATCACCGGCTACTTTCAAGATATTTACATGACTATCACAGATGCGAGCAGAGTGCATGTCTACAACAGTTTACTCTTGAGGACTTCCCTCCCAAAATAACCAAGTATGGAATAGACTTTGCTTTCAGAGACTAAGTGGTGAAAAGTTTACAAACCGCACCTGGAAGATGTAGAAAACGCGGTCAGATGCTACTTCTAGCTGGCGCTTGGAATAATTCACGGGGGCTCTATAGTGAGTGCCTAACAGAAACCAACGCAAAGCCAAAGGGTGATATAGCTCCAGCACCTTCAAAAAAATATTTCGAACAACGCATACAATCAGAATTTCATCAGGATTGTAAGGGTACCAACCAAAACTTACAAACACCTCAGGAGAATTGATTGTTTAGGAAACATTAACAACATGCCGTTTTTGTATCTATTCTTCAGCATTAATTATCTTTGATCGATTTCAGAAATAAGCGGAAGACATACCTCTCGAATGGTGAAGAAGTTCCCCACTGACTTCGACATTTTTTCATTATCCACAGTTACAAAACCATTGTGCAACCAGTAGCCAACTCGACTATCCGCACATGCAGCGCAGCTCTGGGCTATCTCGTTTTCGTGATGAGGAAAAATTAGATCCATTCCACCGCCGTGAATGTCAAATTTGTGACCTAAATGCTCCGCACTCATAGCACTGCATTCAATGTGCCAGCCCGGGCGCCCAGGACCCCAAGGACTGTCCCAAGCAGGCTCTCCGGGTTTCGCACTCTGCGAGAAAATGATACCAGCGACCTTCAGAGAGAGAAAATTTGAGAACCAACACCCACTTTAGTAGGACAAGATTTAGTCTAATTCCCTAGGACCTAACTCAGCAGACAGAAGAGTTTTCTCTCACCATTTTCAAGGGCGCTGACCTTCCATAGAGCGAAATCTGCGGGGTTTCGCTTACGGTTGTCGACTAACACACGCTCCCCTGCACGATTCTCTTCTTGCTTCCGTCCGGACAAGCATCCATAAGTTGGAAGGGTATCAACTTCGAAGTACACGTCCCCTCCCTCCATCACATATCCATTTTTGTTTTCTATGATCTGCAATCCAGGTCCATGTGAAATCAAGCACTTACGAAATAGTAGAACAATAACCAATGTTATCCAGCAGCCTGATTGAGCACAGTTCCTGATTTTACGAAAACAGTTCTTAAACCCAGTCTACTCTATCTACCTAGGAAATCCACAAACAGCCGACTAACCTGCGATATCATTTTAATAATTTGCGGTATGTGGTCGGATACACGAGGCTCCACATTCGGTGGCAGACACCTAAGAAGTTCCATGTCGACTTGAAATTCGTCACAAAATCTTCTACTTAGATTCAAAGGATCCTCCCCCACTTCATTCGCCCTCTTAATGATCTGCATACGAAGAGTAGGATTCAAAAGGACAACTCTTAAGAACCAAGAAATTGCCGCTTATATACATAAATTCCGCGAAAAGTCATAAGCCCCTTTTCCCCCGGTAACTCTTCACAAGACTTAGAATGCAATGTAACTTCAAGCCGTGGTTGTTCGATTGAACCACTCCAGCGCAGAATCTGGTCATGTGTGGAGTTTAGACACAAACATATCCAAAAAAATATGAAGTCAAGGATAAAGCTCAAACGAGTTACCTTATCATCAATGTCAGTAAAATTCCGCACGTAAGTCACGTCGTAACCTACGCTCTTTAAGTACCTGACAGACAAGAATATTTATATAAAAGATTCATAAAATTATAAAACCTAGTTCGAAACTCATCCTAAATCATCTCAATCCACCTCCTCTCTAGGTCATACAACTTGAACTTCAAAATTGTGAAGAAGAGACGGGCTGGTTCACTCACCGGAAGAGAACATCAAAAGCGACGTAGACACGGGCATGGCCAATATGACTGTAATCGTAAGTAGTCACGCCGCATACGTACATGCTCACTTTCCCGGGCACAATTGGCTGAAACACTTCCTTCTGCTTCTTCATTGTATTGTACAACTGAATTTGCACCTCATTTCCCGCTGATGCATTCTCCGCACCCGCACTGGCGCATGCACGAGAATACAAATTCCTGTGAAGTCGCAATGCTCTCACCCTCTCGTCGCGTATTCCCGTCCCATGCCAGGATGCGTCAGATGCACTGAGACGGAAGCTGATAGCGAGGGGGCGGGAAAAGGTCCTGGGGGCGACTATGGCGCGAGAGAGAAGCGCCGTAGTGCAGCAGGTGATCATGCGCGTGGCCATGGCGAGCCCTCTCGTGGCCCCCTTCCCAAAGCAAAATGGCGACGCTCAGGAAGTGATGGCCATAGCCACAGGTCCCTCCTGCTCTATCAAAGCCTTCCAAGGCTTTCACTCACTCGCACGAGCTCATGTTCTCATCGACAGGGAACAATGCCTTTCTTCTCCTTTTTCGTTTTCCGTTTTCGTGAAATCGTTTATCATTTTCGTTTTTCGTTTTCCGCTTTCCGTTGTTGTTTCCCGTTTCCGTTGACCTTTTTACGTTTTCGTTTTCTGTTTTTCGTTGTCATTTAACGTTTTCGTTAGGTGTTTAACGTTTTCGTTTTACGTTTTACAATTTTCGGTTTCTATGCCTTTTTCTTTCCTCGTCGGATTTGACATCCTTTAAAAAAATCACCCTGGATACTTTGTACGTACAATTTTATGAAAAAAATTAGTTGAAGAAAATTTTGGAAAATAAAATAGCATCTTGCGTATAATGAGCCATAAAATGAGGATACTAAACAATTTTGAATTATTTTTTTATCTTAATACTAAATAAATAAACATCCTTAACTTCTTTACAATGTGGTCCCTTATTACTGTTTAAATTCAAGGAAAATTTTAGCATTGTAAGTACGTGGAGAATACGTTCAAGCACCACAGATTTTACCTTATCATCCCACATACAAAACTACAACATTTACTGTGATTAGCTTATTAATTGTGATAATGTGGAAATATATCAATTCTATCTATAAATAGAATGAGAACTTTAAATTATGCTCGCATTTTTAGATTGAATTCACAAGAGTAATTATTACACAATTTCTCAGGTAATAGTATACCTACAGTATGAATAAAACAAATATGCACACCAATCATTTTTGTTTTGAATTACCTTAGATTTTAACTTGGCCTTCAACTGTTCAGAAAAAAAAAATAATAATAATAATAATCGTAAAATTAATACAGGTTATTTCTTAAATGCACTAGATTGATGTTTCAGATTTTAAAGAATAAATTATATTTACTTCGAAAAATCAAATATGTTGAAAGTGTTTTAAACATGCTTACTAATATGAGCAAAATCATTAGAAGAACATTTAAATAGTTGCAGTGGATGGAGCTTTGTAAAAATAAGCAGCTGTACCAGAACCGTTCACAAAGCTAAGTGGAACGTGTGATAATCTCTATTTGCAGTAGTTGATCACATATCTTCATTTCGAATTCTATAAATTCGGATACAATAAAGAGTAGCTTCTGTCTTCACTTTTTACCCCCGAATATTTCCCTTCAGCTCTTGTATCACGTCTTTTTCTATCATTTCCAGTAAATTTGATGTATTCTGGCTTCATAGAACTTATTCCCAATAGCATACATGATTTTGACATAATTGACGTCTCATCGAAGACCTTGCTGTGTTAGACGGATTGTGCCAAGAGATCTGGGTTTTAACTGGGTTTTTGTACTAATGCTCTTATTCTTTTGAAGGCTGCTATACTACTACCTCTAAGATTAAATGAATCAACTATGTCCAGTTCGAGTTCAAGGCGATTTGCTTGTATGCATTGACATCACTCCAAAATAGAACACTTCCAATAACTTTTGTTACTTTGAAAAATAGTGTACACGGGTAACAAATATTTCGGTCACAAGCTAATCTGGGCAGGAGAGAATCTAAGTGTCTGCAAATTCATTTCACACAAGGCTTAGATGGCTTCAAAATCCTACAGCTGGGAGCAGTCCACCAGGTTGACAGCATAAGCTTAGCTGTAACCCAAACTCAAGTGAAGCTCATGATTCAGAACAGAGTATGCTACTTAAATCAACACGTCGCCCAAGTAGAAAGCCCTCAAAACACCTCAAAGTGTACATATTGACCCCTTTTAATCAGAAAGCAACGTTCAAAAATCTTAGGTAATAAAATTTTGGAATTGGCAAATATACACATTTCAAAAACTCTCATTACTGTACCATGCATGAAACCCCCAATTTTGGGAAGTCAATTTGCTTTATGCTTGCGATCTTTTTCAATGTGACGTATTCATTGCATCTCCAGCCTGCAATGTGATAAAAGGCATAGATTTTAAAGTGTAATTGACAAGTTAAGTCACGATCCCTTCCACATTTTCCTCATCAGAACGTGAGCTGAATACCTGCATCAATAATTTCCAACCATTTGTACTTAGATGATATAAAACCATAGCACAGCGCAAGATGGAGAAGTCTTACCGTGTAAGTTTTAGATTGGCTGCACTCTGAACGAAAAGAAAGGATGCGCAAAAGAGAAGACCACTTTCTTTATTGGTTGGAATCATTAGCCTTGTTGTCACTGTTTCCAAGCCACTCCAGCTGTAACACCAGAGATAAACCCAAACAGTTGAGAAAAGAACGAGAGAATCCTGCTAATATCTACCCATATTGCACTTCTAGGAGATATCTTCACAACAACAACAACAACAACAACTATGTATATATATATATATATATATATTATCACAGGTTCCTTAGTGAAAGGTTAGAATCTGAAACAGTAAGTCATAATGTTTCATTAAAAAGCATCAAAACAGGTTTTTAAACGAAATAGATGAAAAATACCTTCCAAGTATACATGGCGAAGAAAGCGAGGACGTCCGCTGACCAGACTGCGGCAAAGGATTTCCACACCAAGGGTAGAGTAACATTGATCAGAGGAACAGCCAAAAACAAGTAGTTCAAAGCCTCCTTCTCCTTTCCAGGACAGTCACGAGCCCTCAACGATGGAATCGCTGCAAACATTCAAAAAGGTGAATTAGTCTATCAAAGAAAAAGTCATGGTTTGCACACCGAACTCGTCCTACAGTCATCATAAGTTTCTTTACGTGAGTGACAGTGTCCAACAACTATTGGCATAACTAACTTAACTAAAACCCTGCGCGAAGAAGAAGACTTCCTAATGTGTGAATTTTGCATTCACAACAGATTGAATCATGATGTAAACATTCCAAATAAAAATAACAAAAAAATGCTAGACCTCATATCCAAGTTTGTAGCACTTACTGAACATCCACACAGACCACATGCCCATGAGGCGCCAAATATCTGGATGGTCAGAAGGGAAGAGCAAATTGAATGACAAGATTCCGCCTACGAGCATGCTAATGTACGCCTGAACTTCAAAGATGGTGTACAGCATTGTGCCCGGCTGCGCTGGGTTCTTGTTCTTAGCAGATGAAGCGCGAGGGGCAAAAGTAGCTGCTGTCTTCCGCACGACCTTAAAAATCAAACAACACCTTGGTTTTCACTACTGTCCTAACGACTACCTCCTTACACTCAGGATACGCAAGGACATACAAAATCACCTCAATGTGCCATGAACTCAACAAAGAGACGACCAATTAAACTACCCAGCTGCACAAACTCAACAACCATTTGACACCATGGACTCCCAGGTTCACCTTGCTAATGTCTTTCTCGAGGTCCACCTTCACGTCCGTTGCTGCAACTTTCTCCCCCTCCTCCTTCTTCTCAGTCTCCGCCTCCGCTCTCAAATTCAAAACAGAGGACCCCCCCGTTCCTCTCATCCACGGCAACCGCCCCAGAGGAGCCTCACGCAAGCCGTCGACATTGAACTGCACGAGCGACTTCCCCTGCAGGAAACTCGAGCCACTACGAGTCTGAGAACCGTGTCTGGAAATTACACGAGCTGGGTTCGGCAACCGCGCCAGGAAATAGCCTGTGCAAGGAATTGCCATCGCTGCGGCGAAGTCACGACGAGGGCTCCGAGAGCTCCGATGTGTCGAAGCTGGTAGCAGGAGCCCGCAGCGAAGCGAAGCAAAACTTGCGAGGAGGATGTGGTGGGATGGGGTTGGGCTCGACCAGGTTGGGGTTGGGCTCGACCAGGTTGGGGTTGGGTGCCCGCTTGAGACCCGCGACACCACCCACGAATACGATATCTCGGTCATGGGTTATACCCACGGGATTCAGTCTCCTCATGGATGGATGGATCAGGATGAAAATTACATAAAGTGTATTACGTTACCATCCTTTAGATAAATAAATAAAAGATCATTCAAGTTTTTTATTCAAAATATCACAAGATAAAAATATTAATATAAACACATATTTGTATCAATGTGAAATATTTTGCATTAAAAAATTTATGCTACCAAAGAAACTTTATGAATTTGCAAATTTGACACCTCCAAAAACAAAGATCACAGTATTATCAAAGTATGAATACATATAGAGTTCTAATTGCAAAAATTAACTGCAACCAAATTTATTTCAAATGTTGATTGAATTTGATGTATTGTAAATAGTCCACATTGTACAATTATTTATTAATTTTTGATAATTATGTTATTACACTGTACAAGATATATGAATAATTAACAACCTTCTACTTTATGATATGGATAGAACACTAATAGATGCATAAATTATAAAAAAACATAAACACTACTACAAATTATACATATCTATATATATATATATATATATATAAATAAATGAAAAATTATTTTATCATTAGTAACTTAAGTAAGTGATTTAATTAGAATATCAATTGCATTTAAATATTACAATAGCTTATAGAAAACTATAAATATATACTACTATAATATTTCAAAATTTTTATTTTTGTCTATAATATTATAGAACTTAAAAATATGATAATAAGATTCAAAGATATAACACTAACACATATTGTTTTATAACTTCTATCCAAAAGTTCAAGATAAAATTTTATGATTTCTTCTGAATTATTCTCTAAGATTAAAAAAAAAAAAAAAAAAAAAAAAAAATTACATATATAATAAAGACAAATTGATGCACAAAAAATTATTTTATTAAAAACAGGTACTCATTCTTTTTTTAAATATATTACTTGAATTTCATGTTTGTTACAATAATTTGTAAAGAAAAAGATCATTTCTTATATAATAATAATAAGAATAATCATATGAAAATAATACTCAAAATTTTATTTATATAAAATTTTAATAAAATTAAAACATCCAAATTCTGAATTTTTAAAGATACTAAAAATAAGTATCTATTTTATACTTATTTTATTTTACTGAAGTATTTATTTTATACTTATTTTATAGTGAGTTTTATACTTATTTTATCGTGTAACAACTAAATGAAAGTAGATATAAACATATTAGATAGACAATATCTATTTAAGAAGCTTAGAAGAAGTTTTTTTAGATATGGATTAAATATAACTATATAACTATATATATATAAATGCTATATGGCTATTAAAACTTTTTCTATAAGATTTTACCTTTTAGAAAGTTGTATCAAAAACAAAACATAATTTGTTGATTGAACTACTAATCTTACAATTCCTAAAAAGCTTCTATAAGACTTTCTTAATAGTTAATATATATGAATGCAAGATTAAGGCCATCCTCAATTTGGTCAATATATTTTTTGTATTCCAATCTTGATTTAATATTCTCTAAGTTTTTTTTTATAATTGACAATAGTTATTTCTTATATTCTTACATTTTTATTTATTTATTTATTTATTTATTTTTTGGTCTAAAAAAAATATCAATCATGTGTATTGGTATCAAAAAATTACATTAAATAAGACTTCATCTCCTATATTCCAAGAACTCACTTCACATACAAGACTTAAGAAGAATGGAAGTTAAAAAAAAGAAAAACAAACAAACAAACAAACAAACAAACAAACAAACAAAAACAAAACAAAGGTTTGTTTTATCACATCAGCTTCTAATTATCTTCTTTTACACTTTTACAAGCTAAATATTCATACTCCAATCTCACTTAGTCTAAACCAACCTTAAAGACTTTATTATCATCAAAACCAACTTATTTAAGGTTAGAAGAGGATATTTAATTACCACATTAGTAAAATGACATATCAACTGTTGTATCAATATATGTTGCTAAAAAAATATTATTATTGGTCCAAAAAAGTACCAATCATTTTCAATTACAAAAACAAATATATATTAAGCAAGTCAATAGTGCAAAGCTACACATATGCCTTCTTAGCTAAGTATTGTAATTTTGCATCTAAGCTAATAAAAGATTTTTTTTGAAGCTTAAATAATTTTTTTTAATCTACTATCCATAAAATATATTATGGAAGAAGTGTGCTAGCTAGGCTCCTAATTGCTTGAAGGCTTCAACTACATCATTACTAAAGAAGTATGTTGGTTGTAACTAAGCTCCATCCTTGTTAGCTTATACTTTGCTTTCTTTCAATTGATTCTTAGTAAAGTCCTAAAACCAAATTTTGTTATTCATACTTCAATTCAAAATATTAAAATAATAAATATGTTCTTTATCCACAAATAAGATATATATCTCTACTTATTCAAAATTGTAGAACTCATGAGTTTTTACATTATGAACAAACCTAATTTTTCTTAATAAGTTTTGCTAGTAATGGTTGTAGACATGTCATATGTCAATATTATTGATACAAACCACACAATGACATAGCAATTATATATTTGTTTTTTTTATATAAAAATATATATTTAAGCCTAATTAAAATAATTGCTAATTTTGAATATAAATTTTATAATAACGATGTAGTTGCAGCCTTCAAGCATTAAAAATCTTAAACTATCTAAAATTTTTTTTAGAAGTTCTTCTTTTGATTGGTACATACCTTAAAGTATCTCTATACTGCATATTTACTAAGTTCTCTACAGCCATTAATATGGACCTTTGAAAATACTTAGTTCAAACTTGTAATATTTGAATGTAAACCTTTAAATTATCTAAGTCAACAATTGGATCCAACTTCTCTTTTATTGCTAACAATAACATGGATTCTTTACCATACATCAACTAAAAAGTACTAAAAGATGCAAGAGATGCTTGTTGATTAAAGCAATAAACCATTTTTATCTAAGATAAATTCAAATTGTTATCATTATAGTTGCCTAGTAATAATCTATACTTGTGCAATGTACACTTGATAGTGTGAACTACTCTTTTTATTAATCTATTAGACTTTGGATAGTCTCTAGTTATTATATAATAATCAATCAAGATTTTAATATAAAATTCTTCAAAATATCTAAGGAACATCTTGCTTTTATTTATTAATACTTTTGCAAGGGCTTTGAATTAAACAAAAAACATGATTCAAGAATATTTTCATTGCTATTTTAATTTTTTTGTATCAAAGCCACCAAATCAATTTACTTCCTAAAAGGCTCTACTATAACAAGCACATACTTGAAACAACATGCTATAGCCATTAATGGCCCAACAAAATCAAGATTCTACTTATAATTGAATACCATAAATGACAAACAGCACAATTAAGAAGATAAAGTATTGAAGCTTGATCTTACTTAATAACAAACTTTACATTTGTCTATATAAGTTGTTGCCTTTATTTATATTTCTATCTACTAATACTAACTATGTAGCATTAAATATATATGATATAATTCAAAATTCTCCAAACCTCTATGAACTTTTTGTATTTATTAAAAATATTAGTTATGCTAAGAATTCATTATTAATGTACTATCTTACTATTTTCAAAAAAAGATATCATCTTTTTAATAGAATCTAGCTATTTGATGAATTATATGGTTTCTTTCTTAAAACATGATATAGCATAAAAATTCTCTATATAATAGATAATATAAAATTTTTTAATCTTTTTATACATCTATAATGATTCAAGGTATTTTTTGACTCAAGATCTCTTTTATACTATAATTTAAAATATTTCTAATAATTTAGCCACATCTTCTTTTTATTTAAGCCATAAATAAACTTTTAATAATATTTTGCTAATCCTATAAAAGCTTTCAAGCAAGACAAATCATTAAGTAGATGGATTTTTTTCATTAATTCCACCTTTGCACCTTATACTCATAGTCTCCTAAATGTAATTGTATGTTTTTAATAAGATAGGTGATTATAAAAAAAATTATATTTTTTATAATGTAGGCAAAGACTCCATGTTTATAATCTTTGAAAGACTTGTTGCAAGTACTTCATCTGCTTCTCAGGTGTATTATTAAAGATTACTAAATTATAATTATAACACCAAGCAAATAGCAACCTCTTCAAGACTTGATCTATAATGCCTTCAAATTATGTTAGAGCATTCTTTAAGACAAAAGATGTAAATTTGAATAAAAAAGTATGTCTCTCTTATTATCATTTGGATCCAAAAATATTATTTTCATCATATCTTCTAATTTCTATAGAAGTTGATGGTATCTTGATTTTAAGCCAAAAATATTGAAGATTCTTATCTTTTCAATTGTATCAAATAATTTTTCAAGTCATGGTATTAAATATCAATATAATTTAGTTTTATTTTCTATTATTTATTTATTTATAATAAATAAGATAGTAATTTTTTTGCATCAGCTTCTTCATCTAATTTTAAAAAACATCCTTCTAAGCAAGTATTATTATTATACAATCATACTCTTCATTTGAAAGTTCTACCAATCAAGCATTCAATAGTTACTTACATCTTGGCTTGATTCTATCTCATTTAAAAACACTTAGTTTATAATTAAATGAATATCTTTTGATTGATTTTTTTTCTTCTAAATTATTAAATTTAAAAGAAAAACAAGACTTATATAAAAATATAAATGCTTAAATTTATTGTATCTCCATATCAACAAGTTTAATTTCTATATCTATTATTTAAATCTTATCATTAAACAAGACCATTTTATTCTTCAAAGATCCCTTGCTTAGTATTATTACCTTCTTTAGTTGCTATTTTATTATTCTGTATTTTTTTTATAAAAAAAATAGATGTCTCTTTTCTTATATCAACTTCAATTTTTAAAGCTTTACTTTTAAATATAGACAAACCATCAATTGATTAAGTAGATGGACTTACAAAAAATATCTTTTGAATTTTTCCTTGATATTTTTTATATTCCAATCTTGTATAAGTGTTGTCAAAACACATTGTCATTTT